GCTGATTTAAATGTCACCCCTGAACGCTCACATCCTTTTAATTATGTTTGAAATTATGAACATTGCTCAACATCATGAAAATTAAACCTTATTTTCAATAAGCAATCCTGAAAAATATTTGGGGGTGCTTAACTTTTTTCCAGGTGTATATATAAATTGGTAGCTAAATAGCCTTAAACTGATGAATTATTTAGCGGTTGTTTGTGCAGATATTGTCATGAGTGTTAGTTAGCCTTAAGATTGTGATTTCAATATATGCAGTTTTTCTATTAAACATTACATAAACATGTATATTTTGAGAATGTAAATATTTAAAAATTAATACTACTAATTCAAATAATACAATTTAGAGCTATTTTCAAGGCTACAATTTTCAAATCAGTGTAGTCAGAACATAGATCAGCTGATTTATTGCTGTGTTACAGGTGAGTGTAGGTTTCATACAAAATACATATGTGTAGTATACAGGTGTATCAAGACTGAAAAACAGGCTTTCTTTTTACCTTTTAGTAAACTACACTAGTGATCCAATCACCATGGTGAAGTTTGCCAAAACCAGTCCACTGAAAGCTCTGCTCTTCTATAGTATCTTAATGATCACCTTGCCAGTTGCAGCTTTCTTCTGTACGCAGGTTTTAATATTTCAACTCTTTGGGATTCCTCCAGGTGAAGGATATCTATATGCCACGGCTGTCAGTGTCATCGTCATCCATGTCATTCTAGGCCTCTTTGTGTATGAAGCATTTACTGAAGATGATAGGACTTCAGTAGTAATTCAGAAGGAAGATTAAACTTTTCTATAGAACTGAGGTTATGGAAAGATGAGACGTAGTAAGTTATGCAATTTGGAACTGCTCTGTAACAAGCAAGTTTTACCTTGAAACATCGGACTATAAAAACTTGAAATATTTTGAGAATGATGATTTATTTGATTAAACATTTGATGTACATGTAATTGTGCAAGGTGTGTATCTGGTTGTGTAATTTTTAAAACCCCATTATCCATCTGTTTAACCCCAAGTTTAACAGCATTCCTGGTGTATCTCGACAACTTGATAAAGTGGTGATTTATAAAGCTAGCACAAATTGTTGAACAATCTGTTAAAAATAGTTTTTTTTTCACATTGTTGAACAATCTGTTAAAAATGGTGTTTGTTTTTTCAGTGATTTTTTTGAAATGCTTTGTAAAGTACTCACTATAGTGTGAAAATTTTATACTTTTCTAAAAGTATTTCTCAGAATGTTGAAACGGACTATTGACTAATTATTATTACCTTAGACGTGCGTAGGTTATGAAAAACCTCTAATCTAATTTACAGGTCTTTGTACTTTCTTGTTTTTGTCTGTAACGAGGGAAGAGGACAATATGCATATGATTTGTCATATGCTTAAAAATAGATATAATGATATAGGTGCAAGTTAACACTATACCAGGTTGTATTTTATTACAGTACTGTCCAATGTACATGTACATTATTGTACATATTCCAATAAATTATGTAAGCATTATAGTTTTATTTTGCTTTCATGAGCTTTGTGAAGTTTGAAAGAATATAGAAAAGTTTCATTTTTCATATTGTAAGATGTTCCTAACAAAAACTATTTAAAATTTCTCATAAAAGTTATCAAAAGTTTAAACACTCTCCTCATTTAGTTTAAAAATAACTTTGGGTTCATTGTGTACACATTGTGAATTTTTAAAGAATTCAGTCATTATATAACACAAGAATAACCAGTACTTTTTCAATGTAAATATGATCTCAAACTATGATGAACTACTGTAGGAGAAAAATAGAGCTGAGCAATTAGTGAAATATGCTAATTATTTAATTGTCAAGTCATTAATCAAATACATTCTACTAATTTATTATTCTCATGAGGTTACTGAAAATAAATCATAATGCTAAAAATCAGTTTTCAATACCATTGGTGGGAAGGACACACAGATAATCTATTTTGTAGCTTTTCTATTAAACAAACAAACATGATGGCAATATTTTAAATATTAAGATAGTTGTAATAATGAAAAATAATAATATTTAGAAATCTTTTGATTATTCAGTTATTTTAACGAGTCATGACACTCATTGATTCAGCTAAATAAATTTAAATTGATCAAAAATCATAATAATGGTGGTATTTCGATTACAGGATAACTGGAATAATCAGAACCACTAATCTCAATTAGTTGATTATTTTCTTGACATTAATCATAATTTCAGTTTCTGTATAGTTGGAAAAATTGAAAACGGTAATAATAATTAGAAACACCTATTTTGATAAGTTGATTATCTTAAATACATTAATTGGAAACACTAGTTGATTTATTTTTATGACGTTAATTGATTTAACCATAATTTTGATTAATTTATGATTTTACATGACAATAATCAATGGTCATAAGATAATTGATTAATCAGTTTTATTGCACAGATCCAAGGGGGAAACAGAGCTAAATTTTTACTGTAGTTGAGAAATTCATACTAACAATCATTAATTTTTCTTCATTATTGATACTAATGAATGATCTCAAGTTTGTTTTACATTAAACTTAAGTCATTGGTACGATATTAAGAGATTTGTAAATGGTTAAAACAACAAAATGTGAGAGATAAATATGTGCACTGTTCGGCATACTGTTACATTGTAGTGTTAATAACCAAGTACAAGTATTTACATAATTTCTGTAACAGCTGTTACAATATCAGTCATACTGGTCCTAAACATCTGGAATATTAAACAATGGTTCAGGGTATGAGTAGCAGCTACAGTTATTACTCAAGTCTAAAGAATGAAAGGATCCGGAAAACATCTATTGAAATAATTAAGTCAATCCTTTTCTTCGATTTTGTTGTTTTACTTGAAGATTGATCTATCTCATGATTATCAGATATAGGCTTAACATTCTGTTTCACATAGTCTACTGTAAGTGTGATATGTAAGTTAGATTATCTTTCACAAACTATTAACCATGAAAATATTTAAATAAAATAAGCTCAATCAAAATTGGCAGTATTGCTCAAATCACCACAGTCTTCTGTTTAACCTGTCAGCAGAAAATGACTTTCATAGAAAATTTTTTATTATTGGTTGTTGTTTTTTTTCCAGTTTTGCATAGCCTAAACACTAGATAAAAATTTCTCTATGGTATATCCTGCAGTTTCCCATTGCGGCATGTGTGGTCAAACAAGGCATTTTTTGAGCCTGAAACTATGTTTGCCTTTCAAAAACTCTGAACATTCATGTTGCTTTAGATATCACTACTTTCCATTGTTCCTGAAAAATTCCACCATCTAGCTCCATGGATCATGATATAATATAAATTTTAAATTACTATTTTGTTTATAAAAATGTTATCTTGGACCATCCTTATGCTGCTGTAACTCCCAATGTGATGATCAGAGGTCAATTAAAATTGTCATATGGCTAGAACAGATTACTTTCTGTGGATTGTGAATGTTTAATAATTTGGCTGTCACATAGCAGGTGCCTAAAATTGGCATTTTATCACTTAATTTTTGTTATAATATTGTAGGCTTAGTACTAAGGGCCAAACACAGGATTAAAATGAGTGTAAAATGATACATTGTATTGAAGGATGCAAGTTTCAAAGTGTTTAGAGATTGTGAAGTGTTATGACCATATGAAAAGACTAGTGTATAAACAAAGATGCCAATATTGGACTAGGTAAATGTGAGATAGAGACATCCTTCACATTCTCCATTTGAATCACACTGCAATTTTATCAACATAGTTACAGTTTTTGCTGCTACACAGATTGGTGGTGGATGAAAAGACTAGTGTATATACAAAGATGCCAATATTGGACTAGTTAAATGCGAGATAGAGACATCCTTCACATTCTCCATTTGAATCACACTGCAATTTTATCAACATAGTTACAGTTTTTGCTGCTACACAGATTGGTGGTGGATAGTTTCACAGCATGACACGAGCACCAGCCACTCACACTTTGATTGCTTACAGTTGCAGTTCACATCCTGCAAAACACTATACAGGGCTCACTGTTGCATTATTCACACAAAAAATAGTTCACACATCCATCGTCCAGCCATACCTAACAGGTGAAGGTGCCAATATTGTTTTTGTTCAAAGAGCATCTGAAAATAGCCACTTGGTAATTAGCTTTATGAGTATGCTGAAGAAGAGCATCTGAGGTTTGTGGCATGTTCTGGTCCATAAAAGATTAGAAGGCCTGACCTTATATTGAGCCTCATTCACATCTAATTGTGAGGACTGGTCCTAGAAATCACAGACTTCTCCAATAGGTCAAGTTCTAGTCAGAAACCTTGTATGTTTACTTTTTCAAACAGCTTCTATAATAGTGGACCTCAAATGAAATGCACTCCCTTTTTCCACACCAGCAATCAACATCCTTGAACAGGCAGCTTCCATACTAGCAATCAACATCCTTGAACAGGCAGCTTCCATACTAGCAATCAACATCCTTGAACAGGCAGCTTCCATACTAGCAATCAACATCCTTGAA